GGGAGACCCGCGGCCGAGCAGCGCCGCCGCCGGCGCACGCCGCGTCCCGTTCCGTTAAGCTCAACAAGGAAGGGGTATGCTGGTCCTAACAAGTGCGGGATACTTAACTGATCATAAACTTATGTATAATAGTTTGTGGGTTTTTTAAAACGTACTTTATACTGTAAGAAGCACCAGGGTTTTTATGTTTAATTATCCTAAAAATAATTTTCTCTCGTCCTTTTTTCCTTTTGATCTTGTGGGTTTTTTTTTTTAAATGTCGAGGTGAGGTGTTTTTTTTTTTTTTTTAAATCCAAAACATGAACGTTTCCTTCAGCCCTCCCACCGAAATCGAGAACGAACAACAAAACAAATAAAAACCCCAAATCATCCTCGTCAACGCAGGAAAATGACTTAAAAATAAAACTGAAAACGAACCAAAAAAAAAAAAAAAAAGGAAAAACACTCAGCTTTCGTTACCCCCGCGCAGGGCGGGGCAGGCCCAGTTCTTTTAGCGTCCCCAGAGCCGCGAGGACATTACAACAAAAATAGAATTTTTTCTTAACAATCTCTTAACATACAAAGATAGGAAAACTCTGATGCATTGCACTTGGTTCAATGAAAACAAAAACAAAAAAGTTCATTTCCCCCATATACATTTTTGTGGGTTTTCCCTCTCCTAACATCCCACATCCCCGGTGCCCTCGTCTCCCCTCGCCCGCCTCTCCCCACCCGTCCCCGCCACCTCCTTCCCGGGCCCAGCTGGCCTGCAGCTTCCGACCTCGCCCGGGCGGCGCCCGCGGACCCCGATTGTCGTCGACGGAAGGGGCGCACGCGGCCGGCCGGCAAGGGCCCCTCCCGCTCTGCTCTCGGCTCTGACCCTGTTTAGCCAACCGAACTGAAAAATCATTGCACTTTGACCGCGCGTCACGCCCGGCCGCCCGGCCCCCCCACCCCGGCCTCACTCCCCACCCCAGCCCGCGGGACCCCGCCCCCGCCCCGTCCTCTGCCGCGGCCAGGAGAACGGGGCTTCCTCAGTTTCCCTCCGAGGCCGCGCTGGGGGAAGCACCCCGCCCTGGTCGCGGCCCTCTCCCTGCCCAGACGGCTCCTTCCCTCCTCTGCCTGCTGGGGCCACAGCCTCGCAAACTAGAGTCTCAATAAATAAAGCCCATAACCCACCCCTACGTGGTGCAATGTTGGACTGACTTTCAGAGGATCCTGACCTGTGCTTTGCGTCTTCATACCGTTAAGAAAGGGAGAGAGAGAGGCACAAGGACTGAGAAGGGGCCGAGGGGGACGCAGGAAGGAGGAGTAAGGCACAGAAAGACAAGCTAGAGGGGCCGGGTCACACCCTGCCGGGCTGGGCGCTCCTGTTCCCTCCCTCCCCGGGCTTCTGCAGGACCTCCGGACAGGCCCCCCCATCCTCGGGGGAGGAGGGCTGGGGAGCTACTTCCTGTGGGCTGTGACCAAACTGTTCCCAAGTTGCTCAAACGGAGGAGGAGTTCCCAACTGCAACAGCAAAAGACCCAAAGGACGACTGCCCCACCCCTAAGTCAAGAGGAAAGACAATACAACTAAGATACAGAGAGAAGTGGCCATGGGGGGGGGCAGTGGGAAGGAGGGGGCCAGAAAGCTCCAAAACACTTGAAAAGGACAACACCCAACGCCCTCCCCAGGAAATGAAAGTCTGCGGGCCGGTGGGCAGTGAGCAGGACGCCTACCTAAGCGCAGGTGGCCGCGTAGCCCGGCCGCAACAGCGGCTGCCTTGTCCTCCTCGCTGAGCTCCGGGGTCCCCTCTCCGCTCCACTCTGGACCCGGCCCCAGCTTGTGGGGCACCTGCATGCGGGGCTGGGGTGTGGGGCGGCCAGGGGCCACCTGCCTTGGCTCCTGGCCTGCGTAGGGAGACGGGGGAGGGGGCCTATCCCAGGCTGGGGGCCGTCCGCCTTCGGACGTTTTCCTGTGGACTTTACAGAGGGCACGGGACGGCCCCTGCGGCTGGGGGCGGGTGGCAGGACACCCTCCATTCTGGGCTCACCTCCCGCCCACCCCAGGGGCCTCCCCTGCCTGGTCCGGAGCAGCTGGGAGAAGCCAGAGCCTAGGCCAGGAGGAAGGGCAAGAGGGGCTGAGTCCAGACAGAGGGGGTTCTAGGATCTGCACCCCATCATCTTCCAGGCTGGTCCTCCAGGCTCCCTAGGGGCGCTCCGGCCTGAGTGGAGGTGGGGTCCCCTAGGAAGGGTGCTGGTTGCTGGGGAGGGGGTCCGCTCCTTCCCGATGGCCGTGGGGGAGGGGAGGGAGGCAGTCCTGCCGCGTCCTTTCTTTCCGTCTGTCCTCTGCGTGGCAGAGCCCATTTTGCTTGTTTCTTTCTGCTTGACTGCCGGTGCACAGCTCCACCGAGACCCCTTCCGAGGGCTCTCTGAGAACTGGGCTGCTTCGGGGGCCCGAGGGGTCCCCGGGCTGGAGGAGAGAAGGGCTGAGTGGCTGACGACGTCTAATTTTTGCTTTTCGGTGGGGCTGGGCTGGGCTGGGCTGGGGGATTTTTTTCTATGTCTCAAAATTTTTTCTCCCCCCTTGAGGAACCTCTTTTTTTCATTTTGTTGTTTCTTTGTCGATCTTATCAGAGGAACCAGGACTGAAACAGACAAAAAAGAAAAGAAAAGAAATAAAAGCAAACCGGTGACAATGAGAAAGCTGGAGTGAGCCCATCTCATTCCTGCCTGGCCCTAGGAGCCGAGCCTCCGGCCGAGCTCCTGCTCCCCCAGGGTGCTGCTCGGCACCCGAGGTGGAGGAGGAAGTAGAGCCTGCGCTTCCCACCCTCCACGGGAATCCCCCAGACGCTGCCCCCAGTGCTGGAGTCCAGCTGGCCTTCCCGTGGGCACTGTGCCCGGCGGGTGGGACCCCCGTGGCTGGCGCTGGCACAAACCTGGGATCTGGCCATGTTTGCAATTGTTTAGGGTTTTGTGTGGGTCCTGGAGGGTGGGGAGGATGCCAGGCTGGGGCTTTTGTACCCAAAGGGGTTTGGGGAGTGGGGTGGGGGTGGCCCAGCTTCTTGCTGAGTTTTCTTTCTGTCTCTTTGGATTAAAAGCAGAAATTCCCGTCTGGGCACCCCAGCCAAGGTCCCACAGACTGAAAGGCTAGGGGCGGGGGAAGGCATGGCTTCGGTCCCGGGCAGCACCAGGCCTGGGGGAGGGGCTGTGTCCCACCGTGTGCGATGCTCTACCCTCAGGGCACCCTGGGGTGGCGTCATTCCCTCGTTCCACCAGCAGGGGGCACCGCCTCCTCACACACAGGGCCTTGTCTGGTGGCTCCACTCAGCACACCCAGGGTGGACCCAGGGGGTTGCACTGCTTGGCAACGCCCTCCATCGAGGCTGGCCGCCCTCTCCTGTCTCCCCACCAAGGAGTGGGTCAGGAGCTCTCCTCAGGCGCAGGTGTGTGTCCGGGTACCTGGCACACCCTCAGGGCAGAACGGGACTTCTGAGGTCACCTCAGAGCCCTTGCAGGCTGTGTCCAGTCTCTGACCCAGGGGCCAGTGACTAATTCAGCTGTCCCTCCCCAACCCCACACCAATGCCAGCACACACGCCCTACGTAGCAGGCTGAGGAGCAGGGTCTGTGGCTGTCAGCAGACCTGTGCCTGCCCAGGGTGAGGGCCAGGAGTGCTGAGCTGCAAGCTTCTCAGAAGCCAGACACCCGGAGCAAACCTCCTGTGAAAACTGCAGTCTTTAGACACCACATCTGTGCAGGCTGGGCCTGCTCCTTGGGCTCTGGTTTGGGACCTCAGGGTGTCATCCACTGTCATCCACACGGGGATGCTGAGTGCTAGGATTAGAAAGGGTAGCCGGGAGCATGCTGGCAATCTGAGCACTTGGGAGGCTGAGGCAGGAGGATCGTTGCAAGTTCGAGGCCAGCCTGGGCTATAAAGTGAGCTCAAGTCCAGCCTGAACTGCATAGCGAGACCCTGTCTCAAAAAGACTTTAAAAAAAAAAAAAGAAGAGAATGCATCAGAGAAGCTGGGCAAGGTGGCAGGTGCCTGCAGTCCCAACACTCAGAAGACTTAAGTGGGAGGATTGCTTGGGCCCAGGAATTCAGGACCAGCCTGGTAACCTAGCAAGATCTTGTCTCAAAAAAACTACTTTCTTGACAACAGAAATCCTGTCTACACTGCCCAGAGCAGTGCTTTCTGAGCACCTGCAGAATGGCTCATGCGACTGAGGACTGAGCTTTTCTTTAATTTAATTGAATGGAGTAGCCACATGTGGGACGAAGAGCGACTGGAAACGTGAGGTCTCGCACTGCCACGGTGCCAGGTGCTGCTGGCGACAGAGCTGTCGGGCTGCCTGCCCTGTACACAGGCACAAACCTGCCCCTCTTCGGCTACCCAGAGCCTGCCCTCTCCTCAACCTCATGGACTGAGTGCCCAGCAGAGGCTCCCTGGGGCCTGGGGCAGCCCCAGCGGAGGAGGGCAGTGGGCCACCTGCTCCTGGTTTTCTCCAGGACCCCTTCATCAGGGGGCCCTTGGGGAACCCCTGTACCCCTGCCCCCAAGGAAGGCTGGCTGTGGCTGGGAACCTGTTTCCGCCTCCTCCCTATGGGGACAAGGAGGCCGCACCTGCCCTGCTTGTTGGAGGACACTGCCAAGGGCCCATGCTGGCCACTTTGGGGGTCTCCTGACCTTCACAGCAGGGGGGACAACCACCAAGTCTCACACCGAAGGGTGCCTCCTCAGAAGAGGAAGGCTCTAGTCCCAGACCTAGAATTGGGGACAACGGCAGCTCCAAGGGGGCTCCCCGGCACCTCCCCACAAGTCCTGGGAACAGGGGATCTGCTGCCAAGCACGGAGCAGCTTTTTCTGCTCACCCCTCCTTGCTTCCTGAGCCAGGTCCAAAATTGATTAAAACTAAGTAAAAAGCGCTGCCCAGGGAATGACAAAACTGCTAAAATTCTCTTTTCTTCCCTTATTCTATTGTTCTCTCTCCATCTGGTGCTCCAGGGATCAGCTAAAGTCACTGGTTACTGTGGAAACCACCCCTGACTGTACCCCTGTGCCCGCCCCAGCCCCAGGCCCTAGGACTCCTGCTCAGAGGCAGGTCCAGCTCAGGCTCCTGGCACTCCCCACACACCTGCCCACTCAGGGGCACTGGGCCTGGACCCTGACTCCTTCTCCCACCGCCCAGGGCCTGAAATGGGGGAATATAAGGGAGAGAAACTTTCCCCAACTTGCCTCCAACTCTGATTTGGCCCCAAAACAAGCAAAGTGCGCAGAGAAAGTGAGCGGGGAGGGCCGGTGGCTGTGGCCGAGCACGCGTACTGCAGAGCCGCTGGCGGCCAGGGGGAGGAAGGGAAGGAGGGAGGGAGGGAGGGAAGAGGGAGGGAAGAGGGGCCACGGAGCCCAGCCCAGAGCAGTGCCAGCCCAGAGCAGTAGGGCGGCCCGCCTGCTGCCCCTCCTCCTGGCACTCCCTCCCGCCCTCTGCCAGCAGGGCTCTCTCGGCCTCCCTGGCACAGAGCAGAGGGGGCTGGCTCCAGCCCCTGCTCGGAGCCATTGTTTTCCTTCTCAACACCCCCAAGTTCAAGTTCATCTGGGTGTTACATCATGTCTGGTTGCTCCTGGAAACCAGACGGGTCAGACGTGACTCTGGGGAAAGGGGGTGGGAAGCTGGAGGGGGTTGGAGTTCCCTTCCCCTCCCCTCCTTGCCACTAGGGAGCTCTGAAGTTTGAAGTTTGACAAAGTTTTTGGCTTTTTTTTTTTTTTTTTTTTTTTTTTGAGGGAAGGAAAGGAAAAGAAAGGGGAAAAAAAACACCCTCAAACCACACACGCAAAACTTCCACCCAGCAACTTTCTCTGCACTGGGGCCTCCGGCAGAGGCGGAGCAGGAGCAGCTGAGGTGGCCTGGGGGGGGAGGCGGGCAGCTCTGGGAAGAGATGGATTCCCAGGGCCAAGGGAGAAGCCAAAATGGGGCATTTTTGTAAAATGCACCAGAGAATGAGGTGTGCGTGCTCTTTTCTAAAACCCACGTGGGGTGAGCCCTGCCTCTGCCCTGCTGCTGAGGTGGGACCTCTCAGTACCCCAAAGGGCAGCCCCAGACTCCGCGGACAGGCGTGCACACGTGCGTGCAGGGCCAAGTCCAGGGCCTAGTGGGAGGGTAGAAGGTGGCTGTGTCCTCGGGAGAGGGTGGTGTCAGCAGGAGCAGGCAGTGGGGACCAGAAGCTCCCGCAGCAGCCTGGCCTGCCCCCTACCAGCCTGCTCAGGACATGGGAGGGGCGCGGGGCAGCCGCCAGCCCTGCCCTGCCCTGGGTGCCAGAGTCTCTGGGCAAGGCGCCCACCAGGCTGCCTCTGTCCCTCCTCACGCCTTGCCCAGCCCACCCAAAGCCAGGGCGGGCGGCCTGGGAGGGTGGGAGGAGAGCGAGGCACCTCAGGCTTCCATCTTTGCCTCCACCAGGCCTGCCCAGAGCGCCTCTAGCCTTGGGTCCTTGGCCGCCTTCCCCAGGGCCAGGGCTGTCAGAGCTAATTATCCAATTAGCTGATTAGCAGGGAGCCTGGGGGCTGCCTGGGGAGGTGGCTCAGCTGGGCATGCCAACGCCTGGGCCCTACAGCTCAGCTCGCTGGCCTCTCTCTGGTTAGTTCCAGGACCTCAACCTCCTCCTTGCCCTGCCTTCCCCGACCCCCTCATCCAGGCATCCCCCTACCTGAGACTGCTGTGGGATGTTCAGAAAGTTGCCGTCCCGGGGTCCGATGCTGACAAACCGGTTGGCAGAGGAGGCGCCTGTCGTTGAGAATGCTGTGGGGAGCAGGGGAGAGAGGAGAGACCCCCGTCAGGCCTTTCAGCCCGCCTGGGCACTGCCCTGCGGGACGGCTGAGAAAGGGAGAGTCGGGGTCAGACGGCACTGCTGGCTGCTGAGGTGCGGCTGGCCTCAGGAAGGACAGGTGGGGGCTGCAGTGCTCACGCACCCGGAGCACGTGCCACACCCTCCCCGCACTCCCATCCTCGGTCAGGTGTCCTCTTGCATGACCCAGGGCAAGGAAGGGGCCCTGGACACTACAGCTAAGGTCCCTCGGATCCAGTTCTGTCCCCTGTGGACATACTGGACAGCGCTGGGGGTAACCCCGTGGCCCCTGTGCCCTCTGTGGGATCTCTGGCTTTCCTACTTGAAGGGGTAAGGGAGGGGCTCAGTCAGTCCACCTGTTCAGCCCTGCAGCCTGTGGGAGGGGGTGCTGCACCACTTACCACCCTGGGAACCCAAGGCTCAGCCGGGTGGCTCCAGGGACTCAGAGTGGAGCTCACAGAGGGCTGGGCCAGGAAAGGGCACAAGCAGAGGCGGACCTAGGAGCTAGCTGCGGGGCTTGGGCCTGGGGCGGCAAAGCTCAGTCCCGTGTCACCCTCCTCTGACCCACAGGCCAGGCCAGCGTCTGCAGTGGGCCAAGGCGACAGAGGAGGAGGCCGACGCCTGGCAGAGCAACCTAGCTCAGGCGCCTGGGGACAGCTGTCCTGTGGCCCAAGGAGGCAAGTGAACGAACAGCCCTGAGCTGTGCTCTAGGCGGGAAGAGAACCCCAGAGGAGGGCCAGTGTCACGGGCTGCCCACCCCTGCTGCGGCAGACACACCTGGGACCCCGTGCTCACCAGACACCGTGCACTTTTCTCCAGAAGCACCCCCACCCTGCAGCCCAGCTCCCCGCCCGCGTCGCGCCCACCTCCAATGGCCATGGTCATGATTCGCGTCTGATGGCAGATGCAGATGAGAAGATGGCATGAGGGGGGCGGGCGGGGAAAGAACTCAAACCATGAGGAGAGAGGAGAGAGAGGGAGCGCGAACGAACACAGAGCAGTGTGGAGATGGCCGCCCGCCCGCGCAGCACCCTGGCCGGAGGTCCCTGCCCGGCCCCTGCCCGCCCTCCGCCCGCCCTGCCCTGCCCTGCCCGCAGACAGTGCCGCCCGGCCTCCGCCTCTCCTGCCTTCACGTCGGGTCTAGCTGGGGCTTCTCCACCAGATTTTCCTTTTCTTCCCTTTGACAAAACATGTCATCAGTTTTAAAGAATAGAAGAAGAGACAGAGAGAGAGGTGAAGTGAGCCGGACCCAGAGCCGCCCTCGTCCCTGGAGCAGCCACCTGGGAAAGGAGCTGAGGAGGAGGGAGGGTGAGGGTGGGAGCGCGAAAAGAAAAGAGGAACGAGAGAAGCTGAACGCGAGACTGAGGGCAGGGGCCAGGGCCGGCCGCCCGCATCTTCAGAGGCCCAAGGGCCGGAATGGAGGTGAGGGGCAAGGCAAAAAAAGGGGATGGTGGTGGCGTCGCCTTGTGGTTACATTTAATTTTCTGGGTGTGTGTGGGGAACAACAAAACAACAAAAAATTGAAAAACAAAAAAAAAAAAAAAAAAAAAAAAAACGGAAAAAAAACAGCAATCAGGCATGAAGATGGCATGGCTGCGCCTCCCGCCCCCCACCCGCGCCAGCACCCCTGGCCTGGCACCCCACTCTGCTCTCCCTCCCGCCCCCCAGGGGGGCCTGGGCCAGGGGCCCCGGCTGGGAGCAGCGGGGAGCGGGCTTGTGGGGTGCTGGCTGGTGCAACTGAGGCCCGGAGGCTGTGGCTGCGGGGCTCAGCTCTGCTCCTGTCCGGGCGGGAGGCTCCGTGGTGCTCTGGGTGGGGGGGTACTGCTTCTCTTTCGCAGTGGAGAAGGTTTGGATGGGCCAGGGATGCTGGGCGTTGTGGTTTGGTTTCATCGTCCACTTACAAGGTGATGGAGGAGTCAAGGCGGCGCCGTCTGGGGCAGTGCTGGTGGATTTGGAATCAGGCATAGGAAGGGGCACAGGTCTGGCCACTGGAGGCGGCGGTGGTAGCAAAAATGACCCCGGGACTTTGCCCTGGCTGCTACCGTTGGGCTGCGAACAACATAAATAGAGTGACGCATGAAGGCACATCACACACAGACACACGCTCCCCTGCACGGCCGCGCCAGCTCGCTCCTGCGGGGTGAGGTGCGGGATGGGGTCTCCGCTCCAGGCTGCGGGTGGGTCATGGTGGAGGTGAGGCTGCGGTGTGGTTGTGAGTGTTCTGTTCTCTGTCTCTTTTGTGTGGGGGGAAGATCCTCTTTTGAAGTTGTGGGAAGGAGGGAGGGGGTGTCCAGCGGGTGATTTGTTTTGTCTTAAGGGAAATGTTTTAGGCATGAAAACGTGCCACCCAGCCATGTGTGCGACTGCGTTTTGTGCTCCCGAAGACCTCTTCTCTCGGCAGGAAAAATGAGCCCGCTAGCCCACCATCCCCCAGGCTCACTCGGGCCTCCCTCTGTGGCCTGCCTGGGGCTGGGTGGACGGCCAAGACTGTGGCCGCCAGCATTAGCCCGCGTCACGGCCTCGGGAGGACGCCAGCAGCCCGTGTCCTCAGTGCCGTGGACAGTGGGGTGCTGGCCTTTCCCTCTAAAGAGCAGCCAGCGAGGAAAATGCGTTGCTGTCAGCTCCAGCTTCTGTGAGGTTCTTCGAGAGCGCTTCCCTGGATGACGCCCTCCGAAGCCAGGGAAGCTGAGCCGCAGGACTCACTCCTTGTCCTCTGTGCCCCCTTTGGCCTCCAGCTTGGGCATCCTCCTCCAGGCCTGGGCCTTGCCTCGGGGGGTCTACCTTCCGCCACAGGCCACATGGGCACGCAGCCTCCCCTGCCTCTCGAGCCTCCGGCTGCTTTGGCAGTGCCCTTGAGGGCCCGGTGCAGGCCCAGCTCAGGGAGGCCTGCTCTCTGTGCTCTCCTCTCCTGCAGGGCCAAGCTCTGCTCCCCAGCCCGTCAGGCACAAGACGTGCTTCTCCTCTGTCAGGTGCAAGCACTGCAGAGCCACTGCTTGATCTCCCCAGCCAGACCCCCACTCTGTCCTCCCTCGTGTCGCCTGCACTATGACGATACTCCTGTCTCCCCTCTGCAACCGTGAGTTCATCCACTCGGTGCCCTTGGTGCCCAGCCCCAGGCCGGGAACCTCACTTACATGTCTCAGCCTCCAGCCATGCCATGGGTTCTCACCTGGGGGCGATGATGCCCCAGCCCTGCAAGGAGCGGCTGTCACGCCAGACGAGCCTGGGGATGGGACTGGCACCAAGTGGGTGGAGGCTGGAGAAGCACCTCAGGGTGCACACAGTGCACAGGGTGGCCTTGGGACAAAGGGCCAGCGACCCAAGGGTGAAACCCGCTGCCCCTGGGAAGCCCTGGCTTGCTCCAGAGAAGCTCTGTTCTACCCATTTCCCGACAGGGAGGGCTAAACGGTTTCTCCAATGTCACCCGGCTACACTGGCCAGCCTGGTATTCACAGCCACGTCTGTCAACACAGGATCCGAGACATTCTTCCCAGCAGCCCATCAATCCCCTTCCCTAAGTGCAAATGGGGGTTCTTGGCCTCTCAAACCTTCCCCAGCTCAGACAGCATGGTGGTATCTGACGGAACCCCCCACACCGCCCAGCCAGGTCTTCTTGGCCCGCGAGCGGCACCTGGGTGGGGTCTCCCACCACCCACCTTCTGCACACAGGGCCTCAGGCACTTCCGGGCCACACTGACTGGAGTTCCCAGAGCACACCCTGCAGCCTGCTCAGAGCATCTCTGTCCTGCTCCTCCCCGACACTGTGACCTCACTGGGGCAGGCGCCCTCCAGGCTCCACGGGACCAGCAGCAGTGTACAGCACTTGTGTCCCTCTGGACATGCGAATCATCTCACCTGTCCGGCTGCCCTGTGGTCACAGAACCCCACAGGCGACCCATGCAGTCTCATCCTTTTGCACCCTAGGTCCCCTGCTTGCTGCCCTTTGTCTGTAATGACCAGCACCTAAGCCTGACATGCTATGCCTCTGACAAAGGCCTGTGTCTACGTCCTGGGCCAGGGACGTTCTGTGCTAGGTGTCATTTTGGACAGGGACACCGGCGCAGGCAGCAGCAAGATCAGAGAGCATGGCTCCAGTTCTCCAAGCAGCACTGGCCTCCGCGCCCCCTATCTGGTTCCCATTGCATCCTTCCCCCAGGGCGGGAGACTGGGCAGAGACGGCTCAGCCTGTCACGTTCCCAGCGAGGCCGCCCAAGCTCACTCAGGCTTTCCAGGCAGCGCCTGCTGCCCCGGTGTGGCCTCAGCGCCCGTCTTCTGAGCCCGTCTGCCCCAGGAGTATCTGTACCACTAATCACACTGGATAGGGCTAATCCACCTTCAAGAACCAGGACTGACTTACAACATTCTGTATCTACAAGTAACTTTCAGCCAGGCTGGATGTTTCCGCTCTAGGTGGGGTACAGGTCAAGGTTTTAAGAATCGCAGGGTCTCCTGACTTCACATTCCCTTATAACCTAGTCAGCTGGCAGCTCAGAGAGCCCTGGAAGCTGCCCCAGCTCCTCTCTGTCTTACAGGCAGAGCGCCTGGCTGTCTCGGCCGGCATGTGGGCAAAGCTAGGCCAAAAGCGGCCGTCCCTCCTCCCGGCGGCCCACTCCTCCATCAGGCCACGGCGCTGCCCCCACCAGTGCACGTGGCTTCTGCTCTCTCACTCTACTGCCCCTAGCTAGCCGTCCCCTCTTTGCCCTCTGCACCTCTTCCCAGTGGTGCTCCACTTGGCCTTGGCCTTTACTGATGGGCTACTAGGGTGTCCAGACACCCTTCTGTAACTGCCTGCAGACTGTTTCTACCTATGTGTTTTCTTGCAAAGCTGCCCGTAACTCCAGATCCTCAGGAAGTTAGGAAGGTCCTCCCCGAGGCCCTGGGGCAGGGCCCAGGCACCTGTGTGGCAAGGCCTCCAGATGACTCGGGGGTCGGTCAGTCTGAGAACCCCCTCTAACAGTGGTGTACCAGGCCTCTGCTGTCCTCCGTGGCGTGAGCTGTCTCTAGCCCGGGAGGCTACAACAGGTCCCCTGCCGAGCCCACTCCTTGAGACGACACGCACAGAAGAGACCCAGAGGGGCAGCTCCCAGCCTGCCGCCTCTGCCAGGTCAGGTGCCTGTCTGTGTCCCTGTCTGCAGTGTTCTGCAGGACTACAGAAGCCAGTGGCTGCCCTCACTGGAGAGCCTTCCAAGAGGCAGAGTCCTCGCTGTCACTCTGTCCAGTCAGGGGAGAGGCTGGGGACCTACACAGGGGCCCTCTTCCTCAGGCCCTGCGCTTGCGTGGCTCTTTGGGCTAACTGGTTCTTACGTCCGACCCTCTTTGCCTCTGAAGGCCCCTGTGTCTGTGGGCAGCATTCCTGGCCTCTCCACTCCACATTCCTGACCCCAGGGCCAGGCACGGGCCAGTGGCTCCCCGTGGGTGCTGCCGCATCTCTGAAGAAAGCAGAGCAGCTGTTGGGGGAACAGGTCTGCTTTTGCCTACCCCTACACAACATGGGCAGAGCTGGTCCAGAGTGATGCACAAGGCCACCAGGGTGCTGAAGAGCTGCAGAGTTAGCAAGAGGACACAGGAGGAAAGCGCAAAGGGGGAGAGCAGGTGCAAGGGAGGAGGACCAGCTTCTGTGACGAACAGAGAGCCAGGAGGCTGAGGGCGGCCATCCCCAATCACACAGCCAACGCCCCTCCACGCAGAGCGCACGGTGGCGGTGCCTGCAGAGTGGAAAAGGGCAGCCAGCGTCCCCGGAGACCTGGTGTGGGCCTGCAGTGCGCCACTCCCAACCCCAGCCCTGGCGCAGCCCGCTGCCCGCACACTGCCACAGCCACACCACTTCCCACTGTGCTCTGACCCAGAGCGGTCAGCGGGGCCCAGGATGTCCACCTAAGAGCGTCTGTGGCCCACACGCTTGAGGGTAATTCCTTTGCTGGAGTCCCCGAGTTTCTGGTGACCTGTGACTGGGCCCTAGGGCCCACAGCAGAGACAGGTTCCACAGGGACCTGGCTGTCCCCCAAGCCAAAGGGTCCCGGGAACCCCATGTTAGGAGTCCTGCTAGCGGAGGTCTCCGAGACATGGCAGTATGGGAACCTCCTCTCTACACAGTGCTACCGCCTGGGACAGCCATGCTCCCAGGACACACTGACATCCATAGATATGTGTGCTCACCACAGATGGCCAGATACCTACTGGACGGAGCCCAGGGGAACTTCCCATACCCACAGTGCCCAGGACAGCCTCACACAGAGGACGAACAGCCCCGAACGTCATCAGAAAAGAGATGGCAAACTCTGGTCTAAATCCGCCAAACCCTTGCACCCCTAAGGTCTGAGTGGGATGTTCGGAGGTGGGGGCCAGACACGGGTTGGACGGATTCCAGGTTCACTCCTGCTGGGAAACTGACGCCCACGCTGGGCCCACCCTGACTCGGGGCCCTCACTCCGGGCCCAGAGCGGTGGAGATGTGCAGTGCGACTGGCCCCCGCTGCTCCAGCCCAGGTGGCTCCCGGCCTTGCCGCTCCCTGTGAGCCCTGAGGCAGACGGACAGATGCGGAGATGAGGCCTCGGTGGGGCTCCAAGGCCCTCCACACTCACCTGTCCAGTGGCCTGGCCCGAGCCGTCGGAGCACACAAACTGCACAAACTCCTTCAGCGAGTCCTGGCCGTGGTGGTGGTGGTAGCGGATGGTCGGGTGCGTGAAGTACGGGCTCGACTGCTGGATGATGGACGTGGAGGGGAAGTGCAGGGCAGAGGCCGTGGCCCGCGGGCTCCCTGTGCCAGGTGGGCAGGGAGAGAGAGAAGGTATCAGGGCTGAGGCTGAGACCGTGCAGGACAGAAGGGAGGGCTGCTATGGGGGCTGAGAGTCCCCGGGAAGAGGGACAATGAGCAGGAGCAGGGGGAGGCGGTGAGGCATTGCTCTGGGGCACAAAGAAAGCCCACTCACGGGAATCCAGAAGATTTTAATGCAATCTTTAAAAAACGGTAAGCCAGGCATGGTGGCTCATGCCTGTAATCCCAGCACTCGGGAGGCTGAGGCAGGAGGATTGTTGCAAGTTTGAGACCAGCCTGGGCTACAAAGTGAGCTCAAGGCCAGTCTGAACTGCAGAGTGAGGCCCTGTCTTAAAACAAACAAACAAACAAACAAATTTGCAGTAGGGCTTCAGGGCCAGCCACTTTATTTTCTGCAGCTTGGGGATGGAACACAGGGTCTCCCACATGCTAGGCAAGCGTTCTCACCACTGAGCACATTTTCACCCCTTTTAAAATTTCATTTTGAGACATAGTCTCACTCACTTGTCCAGACTGGGCTTGAACTCCTGCACTCAAGCAATCTTCCTACTTCAGCCTCCAGAATAGCCTGAGTTAAAGGGGTGTGCCATTATATCTAGCAGTCACTTGTGTTTCTGTTTTGTTGAGTTTTTGTTTGTTTCTTTGTTTGAGACAGGGTCTCACTGTGTAGTTTTAGGCAGGCCTTGAACTCACTATGCAGCCCAGGCTGGCCTTAAACCCACAGGGGTCCTCTTGCCTCAACCTCCTGAGTACTGGGATTCTAGGTGTATGCCACTCTGCCTGGCTGGTCTTTTGGATTTTTTTGTTTTTTTTTGTACTGAGAATCAAACTCAGGACCTTGCACTTGCCAGGCAGGCACTTATGCCACTGAGCTATATATCCCTGGCCCGGTCTCTTGTTCTTATGAATGAAATGTGACTAGAGCCAGGGCAGAGATTAGAGGGTGGCAGGGGAGGCAGGGAAGGTAGTCCTACAAGTGCAGGGTTGGATTCTGTCTTTGTTCTTTTTTTTTTTTTGGTCTTTTTGAGACAGAGTCTTGCTATGCAGTTCAGGCTGGCCTGGAGCTCACTTTGTAGCCCAGGCTGGCCTCGAACTTGCAAGGATCCTGCTGCCTCAGCCTCCCAAGTGCTAGGATTACAGGCGTGCGCCACCATGCCCGGCTGGATTCTGTCTTTGTATAAAATTGTTTAAAATGTTATTTGCTCATTTTTTTGCAATGGTTTTGGTTTTCTTTCTTTGTTTCTTTCGTTGTTTGTTTGTTTCTTTCTTTCTTTCTTTTTTTGAGACAGGTTCTTACTTTGTAGTCCAGGCTGGCCTTGGACTATGCAGTCTAGGCTGGCCTTGAACTTGTAGATATCCTCCTGTCTCAGCCTCTAGAGTGGTGGGATTACATGTGTGCCCCATGGCATCCGACATTAAAATATGACTCATCAGGTTGACTTAGCATGAGTGAGGCTTTGGGTACAATCCCCAGCATCAAAATAAAAAAAGAGAAGGAGAGAAAGAATAATGACTTATGTTGCCCACTGAGCTTTTGGCACCCCTGACACCCTGAGTCCAAGGTGAGCACCTCACCCTGCCCTGGCCCAGATCTGGGGAGGGAGGACGGGGCCCTGGCTCAGGCGCGGTGAGACTGCAGGCCACACCGGCACACACACTCGCATCTGCCCAGAGCCAGCCGGGGTGCATTCGGCTGCCACCACACAGCACATCCGCGCGCTCAGCCCCTCACCCTCGCACACGCGTCCTCGCACATGCAATCCCACCCTGGCGCAGGCCTCAGCTCTTCCCTGAGTCCTCCCTCGCCTGTTTCCAATCAGCTCGCCTTGCTCTCGATTTCATTAGGGGGCTGAGGAAACTTGGCTTTCTCTGGAGTTCATAAAACTGAGTCAAAGCAGAGCGGCCTGCGCCTCCCACAGCCGGCACAGGGCCTAGCTCCCCACCCCCACCCCGCAGCCACCACGCCCTGCCCCGGCTCCCTGCCGCTGGGTTCCAGCCTGGAGGCCCTGAGCAGGATGCCGGAGGTAAACTTCCCCGCCCTGTGTCCTATGGAAGAAAAGCCTGCACTAGAGGCGGAGGGGGGATGCAGACCGGCTAGAAGGGCAGGCTTCTGACCACCTGACCAGTGCCGGGCGGGGAGGAGATAGGGCGGGCAGGCTCCCACATCCTCCTGCCTGGCCCCACCCCTCGGGAAGGCCTAGGTGCTCCTTTCCACCTTCTCAGTGGAGATCTGGAGGGAGGCACCCTCCAGGCAGCTCCTTGGTCCCTAGCCGGGCAACTGAGCCTATCAGGTCCTGAGCAGTCTCCTTGTTCCCACCCTGACCCAGGCTCAGCCAGGTGGTCTGAGAGGAGAAGGAAGGAGGACAGAGACTCCCCCGACCCAACGGCCAGCCTGCAGGGGAAGGGGGCCTGCGCCTGAGGGCAGGTGAGGGAGCCTGGGTGGTGGTGAGCACAGGGCGTGCGCATGCACACAGATGCGCGCGCACACACACACAGACATGCACACTCGTCCTGCACGCACTAGCACAAGGGAGTGAGAGGCAAGTGGGAGGGCGCTCGGCAGCAGGGGAGCAGCCCAAGGCCTGGTTCTTTCCAACAGGCAGAGGCCCTGGCCTGCTCAGAGTTGCCTCCCTGCACCCGGCCAGCGGCCTCCCGCACTGCCCCCCTCTGGGCCCCCGGTTCTCACCTGGTCTGACTCCAGCAAGCACAGGCAGCGGGTGGTGAGTGAAAGCCATGCGCGGGGAGCTGCCCTGAGAGGAGAGGGCACTGCAGAAGTCCAGCTTTCCTGACTTCTTTAGAGAAGCCGGGCCTGGGGGGAGGAAGCAGCAACACGGGCAGGTTTAGGCAGGCTGGGGTGGCAGGGAGGGCGGGAAGCCAGCAGCTGTCCTTCTGTCCTCGAAGCCCCTACCCCTTCCCCAACCCCGCGCACTTCCGGCCCCTGTGCCTTAGCTAGGTGCCACAGTATGTGGGACTCTGAGCCCCTGGGTACTGGGCAGGGGCAAGCAAGGGGCTCTTCCTGCCCTGACAAGCAACTAAGGAAACAGTGGGGGATGCAGGACCAGTACCGCAGAAGGGTAAGGAGGAGCCCTAGGAAGCCAGCTTGAGCCAGGAGTGGCAGGCAGCGAGGGGCTGCAGGGACAGCCCGAGAGGCATGGGGGTCTCTGCCAAGGTGGCCTGGGGCCTGCCAGGCGCTCTGGTGGGAAGAAGCCCATACTCTCTTTCAGGATGGACAGCCCAGCCAGGGGCCCTCTGGAGGGAGACCACAGCCAACGGGACAGCAGGGACCGCGCTGGAGGGCCGAGTGGGCCCTGGGCCCAGAGCCAGCGGGAGTGACTTCCCTGGCCAGGGGGCTCAAGGCTGGGCTCTGCTTGATCCTGGTGTCAGACGCAGAGGTAGCACTCAGCAGGAGATGGGCATAGAAGAGGCCCTACTTGAACTCTGCCTCGTGGGCTTGGGGCTACCAGCCACTGCCACTGCTGCCCAGTGGGCACAGCATCCAAAGGACACCAGACAGTGCAGGGATCCGGGTGACAGATTCCCCCAGGGAGCCTTAAAGCTGTACCCAGGCTGGGAGGGGCGCGGAAGTGGAGGCCAACCTCTGACGCTGCTGTCCCACGCACAGGAGTTTGGGTGGGACTGGAGGGGCTGCACAGGAAGGAGAACAAGAGCGTCTCCACGGCAGAGGGAGAGGCGGGGGAAGGGCGCACTCCCGCCGCCAGCAGAGGTGTTATCTGGCAGCAGCTGCGTGCCACCTGATAGCTGGCATGGTGGGGAGGGGGAGCGCCCCACCAGCTGTGCACAGCTGTCCCTGCTGCTGCACAGTGCCTCTCCAGCTGTTCCCTGTCCTGCAGCTGGGCTGCTTAATTGGCGATTTGTCGCAGCCCAGGGAAAGGACGACAAGGTGGGGGAGTGCAGGAGGGTGTTGAGGGTGCCGAGCATGGCATGGCGGGACGCAGGGAGAAGCAGAAACAACAGGCACAAGAGCAGACAGCTGAGAAGGAAGAACCCGGAACTGTGAACAGCAGGCTCCTTGGAAGGAGGTTTGTGCAGAGGCCTGAGGCCTCCTCCAGGAGCCAGTGGCACCCCAGCAGCAGCCCTTGCAGGGAGGGGCACCTGGCTGAGGCCCTGGCTGGGACCAGGACTGCAGAGGCATCTCCCAGGCCTTCTCAGCACTCTCTCTACCCGCCCAAGGCTCCTGCAGGGCCCTTCCCACCGAGGTGCCTCCAGGGTCTGCAGCCGTGAGCCCTAGCCTACCAGGCAAGGCCAAGGTACCATCAGGGCAGAGCTGGAGCCAGAGAATGACACCCTGTGCACACCCACATGGGCAGCTCTGTACCCTCAGATCTGCACACCGTAAGGAAGCACAGGCTGTGCCTCTACTGTGTCGGCCAGGGGCCCCTCCCTACAGGTAGCCACCTCGCACTCGTGCACACACGCACATGCATACGCGGGCACACACACTCTCTTCTTCAAGGGCTCTCGAGTGGGCCCATCCCCTTGGTCAGCAATGGGTGGACTCAGCAGGAAGGGGCTGCTCAGAGGAGCCTGGAAGGTCTGAGTTGCCTTCCTCCGGATCCTCAGAACCTCTGCCCTTTGCTAGCTCCCTCACCTGGTCTGAAAACAGCTCCGCCCATCTCGCGCTGGGCTCTGAGCTTCCCTGCAAACCCGCACCCTTGAAGGCGGCTGTTTTCAGCCAGCAGAGTGCTGCTCCCTATGTAGTGCTCTGCAGTGTCGGAGGCATTTCTGGTGCTCCAAATAAGGGTTGGGTGTCTGGTACTGGCATTTGTAGGTGATGCACCTCACAGAGCACAGGGCTGTCCCCGCCAGAGAATGGCAAGGCCTCCAATGCCATGGTGCCCAGGCGGGACCGAAGGAAACTGCTCTAAACCACCAGGACCCCGGGGCACAAGAAAAGGAGGCTGAGGCAGCGTGCAGAAGAGGCCACAATGGATGGACGCCGCTCCCCCGTGGGCCCCCTGTGCCCGCCTGTCCCCTCCTTCAGCCTGGGGGGCCTCCTCAGCAGGGAGAGGCCCCAAGGAGCACATACCTGCATCCACATCATTGGGCCACCCGCTGGACTGGCTGCTGCCAGCTGCTGGGGAACGGCCCGTGCCAGGATAGAACACATCGTCGACAGGGCTCTCCATCTCACTGTCATCGATGGACTTGGGGCGCTTGGTGGTGCTGGGGAAGGAGGAGAGGGTCAGGCGGGCTGAGGCCCAGGCTGAGAAGCTGCACATACATGGACAGCCCTCTGTGGAGAGCAGGTGGGAGCCACTAGACGCCAACTCCAAGACCCCGGTGCCCCTCGGACCCCAACTGTCTGCTCTGCCTCAAGGTCCCTGTGGTCCATGGAGGGGCTGTCCAGAAGGAGGCAAAACCCTCTCCAGCTTCCTCAGACAAACCCCACGAACTCCTATCAGCCACAAAGCTCAGTCATCAAAACACACTGTTGTAGGGAGGGGTAGGTGTGGCCGTGCATGCCTGTAATCCCAGCTACTCAGGAGGCTGAGGCAGGAGGATCACAAACTGCAAGAACAGTCTGGGCAAATTTGCAAGATCCTGCTTAAAAATAAAATAAAAATAAGTCTGGGATATAGCTCAGGATTAGTGTGTTTGCCTAGCATTCAAAAGACCCTGAGTTCAGTCTCCAGCACCACAATAAAAAAAAGAGAGAGAGGGAACAAACAAACAAAAAGCAAAAACAAAAAAAAAGAGAGAGAGGGGCTGGGGATTTAGCTCAGCGGCAAAGCGCCTGCCTGGCAAGCGCAAGGTCGTGAGTTCGGTTCCCGGTACTGGAGAAAAACCAAAAAAAAAAAAAAAGAGAGAGAGAGAATATTTTAATGTAGGACTTAAAAAAAAACAAAAGGAGCCAGGCATGGTAGCATACACCTATAATCCCAGCAGCACTTGGGAGGCTGAGGCAGAAAGATTACTATGAGTTTGAAGCCAGCCTGGGCTACATAGTAGGACCCTGTCTCAAAAAACAAAATAAAAAATAAAAAAATAAAAATACAATATGAATTCAAAAAGCCTCACAATGAACAAAAATATCTCTCTCTTTTTTTTTAAATGTCTTTATGAGACAGGGTCTCACTATGCATTTCAGGCTGGCCTTGAGCTCACTTTGTATTCCCAGGCTGGTCTCGAACTCACATCGATTCTCCTGCCTCAGCCTCCCGAGTGCTGGGACTACAGGTGTGAGCCACTACGCCTGGCTTATACCTCAATTTTAAAAAAAGGCCAGGACTCAACCCTCTGCTGCAGGACTAGCCTTCTCCCTGGGCCGCCTATCTCCAGCTCCCAGTCCCTTCTCACCGTGGCACAGACGCTGCTGCTGGAGGGAGCTTTCCAGAACACCTATGCCCAGCACACCCTGCTTCAAACACTTTTGAGGTCCCCACCGACATGTCCCAGAACTCCCAGCGGAGGCCTTTGTGAGTGGCCCCACTATCCGGTTCTCAGCATGAAGGAGGCTGCCTGGAACACCCAACCCAGGCCTGTGCCAGTCCCCATGTCTTGGGGCTCAAACACCACCTCCCCAAGAGGGGCTTTGGAACCCCAGTTCTAGGCATAGCCGTTGCATGTGGGTTTGAGTCCCCCAGGTCAAGTGCTATGAGACGGCACAAAGCAGGAAGCTGGGGGTGGGTGCTGAACGGGTTGGGCTATGACGAGTGGCAGGCAGACGGGAGGCACGGGGCTCACCTGGTGGAAGGAGGGGAGGTGATGGACCGCCGCCCCAGGGTCACCTGGTTTATGTTGTAGTAGCTGGGACTCTCCAGGTCCGCCAGTGAGAAGTTGGGCCCTGATGCTGTCGCAACAGGGGCTGGGAAGAAGAAAGGCTGATGAAGTCCGGAAGGGGCTGAAGGCGCCCAGGGCCCACGCGGCAGCTGCAAGCAGCTCCCCAGGAGCCAGAAGAGATGTCTGGGGGCGGGAAGTTGGATGGTCTGGGCCACCGAGGGTCACGTGACTCCTTTTCCCACCAGAGCATCGGAGACAGAGATGGGGCTCTCTGGGTAGCTCTGCCCCAGCACCTGGGTCCTGGAAGCCTCTCCACCCCGTTCCCTGCTCCAAGGCCTCATCAGCACGGCCGGGAGGTCCGAGTCCCCCGCCCTCACCCGAGTCCCAGCCCCCAGCCCAGAAGAAAGAACTCACTCTGCGATACTCTCACCAGCTCCGTCACATTCCAGACCCCGGAAGTCACAAAACAGTCCTGGAAACTGAGGTGCCCTAGAAAGGAAAAAGGGATCATGAGAGAGGCCAGGCTGAGGGCCTTCTGTCCCCATGCGCTCCTCTGCTTTGGGGCAGAGGGTCTAGGAGCAGGCAGAATGGGGTGGGGGAGGGGGGCACTGACCGTTGGGCAGTGGTTTGATGTCCGCATCTCCTTGCTGGTTTGAACTATCTGATTGTCCGGATTCTGCAGGAGACAAAAACAGGACAAGGGTCAGGAGTGAAGCACAGCACCAGCGCTGGCCAAGCAACCGCCCCTTGGCCCTGTGCAGAAAGCCGGGTGCCCCGGTCTGCAGACCCTCACTCAGCCCCTTCCCAACCAGAGCCAGCCAGGGCGACCGGAACAGCTGCAGGACAACCTGCACGCCCATGCGGATTTCAGCCTGTGCACTGCGGGGCGCTTGAATGTATGCCCGGTCTCCACCCACGAGATGCCAGTGGCACCCCAGCTGTGACAGCCCAATCCCCTCAAGGCACCGCCACCGGCCTGAGTAACAGGCACCTGAGGGTGAGCAGCACTGGCCAAGAGGCAGAAGCAAGGAGAGCGCTCGGGAGAGAGCCCGGCGACCACGCTGTCCACAGCTGCGTGGACCCAGGCGTCCTCCTCCCCACCCGGCTAAGCCCCCAGAGGGGCGTCCCTGTCCCTAACTCACTTAAAGCCATGCCATGGGCCTGCGCCTCCCTCACCTCACCTATCCGCCAGCAGGCAGTGCCTGGCAACCAGGAGGGGGGTGTGCCCTGCCGCCACCCGCCCTGTGCCAGCCTGTCTGGGCTGTCTCATGCCCCGGTGCCACAGCTGCTCGGAAGGAGCCCCAGACAAGGGCCCATTGTGCGGTGGGAGTTCGAGAAAGCTGGGGGCAGGGAGGAGTGTGTGTGTGTGTGTGTGTGTGTGTGTGTGTGTGTGTGTGAATATTTTGCTGAGCTTGGGAAAGCCCCCCACCCCCACCCCGGGTCCTCAGAGCTCTGTGCCAGGGGCACGGTGGGGACCTCCAGAATGCCTGCCCAGGCACGACAGCTGGTAGGGGGGCGGGGCGGGCTGTGCGGCAGGGGAGGCGGGCGCTCGGTACAGAAGCGGCTGCCTGAAGGGTAGGGAAGTGGCATCTGAGCACTATGCCTTGGTGTGGGCCAGGGCCTGGCCCAGTCTCGGGAGGCCCTGGGAAGCCTGGACTCTGGCATCTCCCTAAAGCCCCCCACCCCAGGGAAGGATGGACGCGGGGCGGGTGGGCACCACAGCAGCCCAGCCCGCACCGACCGCTCTCAGAGCGAAGGTCCTGCCACACACATCTGGGGCTTGCAGTCCTGGCCAACACCTGGCTGCCTGCCTCCACCTACCGGGTAGAAAAGGGTAAAGGTTTGGGGCCCATCTTTTACCTTGTTCAAATTGTCACATTCCAGAAAAAAAAAAAAAACAATATATCTTGTAACAAATCAAGAAAACAGAGGCTTATCCCAAAAGCTCTCCTGAGCCTGTGGTTTAGTGTACCCTTCCATACCTCCCACTGGGGACTGGGAAGTCAGTCAGTGCCACCCAGAGCCATCTCCTTGCTGATGGCGTTTCCTGCTGTGGAGGGAGCCCCGGGACACCCCCACCTCTTCTTCCTCCTCCTCGAGGGGTCCTGGCAGGGCTGCACAAGGCAGGGCTTGGGCCCTCCTCAGGCCCCACATCAGCAGCCCCGTCACATCCCACACCTTTTTCCTGTCTCTGTGTGTATCAGATCCAGCGGCAGGCAGCCCATCAAGCCTCTGCAGACCCTGGCAAAGACGCCCAGCTCAGGGTCTCTGCCACAGACCTCACCCACCTAGGACCAGCTCAGCCCCCACGGAGCCCTGACCCCCTCGGGCTGCTCCGTGGAGTGAGCCGGGGGCTCCCTGCCCCCGCAGAAGGCCGAGTGGAAAGGGACAGCTGCGTGCGCGTGCGTGTCTGTGGGTGCACACGCGTACACCAGCGGAGGGACAGCATGAGGAGAAAGAACCCGACAAAGAGATGGAGGTGGGCCAGCGACGGAGGCAGAGACAAATGGTCTCCAGGAGAGCACGACAGACAGGAAATCCTTCTACACCAGTCCTCGGCCTGGAAGGGTGCTGCTGTTATTACCATCAGCTCCAAGGAACGCAACACCCAAGGGCTGCGCAGGCCAGGCCCGCCACGCGCCTCCAGGCGCTGCTCCGGGCACTGCTGGCAGCCATCTTAGCCCTTGGCAGCCATCTTACGGCTGGCGGCCCCGCCAGCGTCCCCACAGTGCGCTCCGCTCGCTTCAGGACAAAAGGCAGAGACGCCGAAAGCTGGGCCCAGGCGGGGGCAGAGGGGCCAGCCCTGTGGTCTGGACAGCTGGCCAGGGCCGACTGATCTGCCCGAGCCACAACCCTCACCCTCTGGCCACGCAGCGGAGGGGACAGGGAGGGCAGGGATGAGGGCCTAGGGATCCCACATCTCTGCTCATAGGCAGCTCAAGCCCTCGCAAGCCATGGCCAGGCCCTGGGGTGCTACCAGGTCAGCAAGTGTGGATCCTTGCCCAACAGGGCTCTGGTGCTTTGGGGCAATCTGGGCCCTGAACACCTTGTCACTCAGGGATTTGTCCTGGAGCGGTGAGGGAAGGGACACCCTGCCCTCCTACAGCACGGCTGCTGGGCTGGCTTCCTCCACAGTGGGTGCTCTAGGCGGCCTGGAGGACCCAGGGTGCCACACTGTGGAGTGTCCTTGTCCGGGCTCCCGGGTGACGGGTGATGGCACAACCCTGGGATTCTGGACAAAGAGGAGGGAGGCCCCTTTGTGACACCCTCCCCGGGCCCCGCCTCATGGCGGCTGGCTTTTATCTGGCAGAATGGGGCTTATCAGAGCCACCAGCTGAACAAACACACAAATCCACGGTTAGTGAGAAAAAACACTCTGCCTGAACTCTTTATCTCCTGTTCGCAGGCCCTGTGCACTGCCCACTGCCAATAGCCAGGCGCAGACCCGCGGTGGCCAGCAGCGGGAGCTCCGTGCTGTGCGCACGGCAGCGGTGGAGGCCTGGCTCGGAGGCCTTGCGGCCGTCTCCACGCTCCAGGTCTCTGCCGCCCCCTTCCCTCCTTGCCGCTGGCCAGGGCAGCCATCCCTTGGCAGTCCCCGCTGGGTGGGTGTGCATGAGTGAGTCCCTGCCTACACGCAGCCTCCCTCCCTGTCTGCTTTCTCACCCGGACAATGGGCCAGCTGGTGGCGGGTGGGCCAGCAGAGGGGCAGGGACAGTGCTGGCTGGCACAAAGCGGGCAGGTGCTAGCTCTACATCTCTTGTCCACTCCTGCCCAGCCCATAGCCAGGGCAGTCTCTGCTTCCCCTAGCAGCCACTATGCCTTCTCTCCAGCCCTGCTGCCAGAGCAGTGCGGGCCCCAGAGGTCACCCCAGTTCAGGGCCACCAACCCTGGCCCCTCCCTACAGCCGCTCCTTTTGGAGACCAGGGCTCCAGCCACTTCCTGCAGAGAGGAGATGGGACAGAGGTGCCCACCTCCTGCCTCGGCCCAAGAAAACTCCACGGTTCCCTCAGCCAAGTGCTGAGGACCAGAGTGCTTTTCTCGCATAAACTGCTCCCACTCGGCCCACCAGACACAGCCCACCAAGGACCGAGCCCGCTCCTCATGTCTGACAGATGCCTGGACCTGGGCGGCAGGCGTCTGGGTCCTTACCCCAGGCCAGGTTTGGGGAAGGAGTGTGCTCTGGGGGCCTTGGCGCGTCCTGAGGTTGTTGGGGTCAGGCTGGCTGCCTCGTAAGCATGCGGCTCTGCTGTCCCCCGGAAGCCGCTGCTCCTGCCATCCATACCTCCAAGGTGTGGCCGCCCCGTCTGTGATTCTAGCTACACTGCAGGCTTCCGGAGGGAGGGCTAAGACGGGGCAGGGGATCAATCTGGACTCCGAAGAACAGGCCTCTGAGGTAGGACTGGGGTCTAGGTTCCTGGTCTGCTCCCCATCCCCTGCCTCTCCTCTGCACGACGGCTCATGCACCACAGGCAGCACCTGGCACTGCCCATACTGGAGTCAGGAGCAGTTGACAACGGGCAGGGCGGACTGCTTCCCCCCTCAGGCCCTTCACGCCCCTGGAACAGCCATGAAATCCACCCAAGGCTGTCCTTCCCACCCCCATGCCCCACCACGTGCTCCACTTTCCCAGCACCCCCCCCACACTTCCTTTACCCAGCTCTTAGCCTGTCCCTCTGGACTCCCGGCTCTGGCCTCCCCTCCTGTCCTTCCTTTTCCTTCACTTTGCCCACCCCCTCCTCCCCAGGCGAGCCCGCCCATTGCATGCACGTGTGCGTGTGCACGTTCAGGGGAGTCTCTGGGCGCCAGGAGGAGCTAGGCGCTGCCCATGTACCCCAGCTGATCATGTGTTTCTAATACATGCGTTTCCCAGCCAAAGATGGGGCTGTGTGTACGGCTCCCACTAGGTGAGGGGGACTGCAGCCACCAGTCTCCTTGGTTCCCACACATAGCCGACACTCTCCGTGGAGGGCTGCATGGAGCTTGCTGGCCAGGGGCCCCAGGGACCTCACCCAGTGAATGCTTCGGGGGCCAACAGAGGTGCAGGGATCTGGCTTGGCTGTACCACAGATCACAGCCAGCACACGGATGCCCTCAGTGTACCTGCACCGTTGGAGATGCCACCAGCCCCTTGTCCGTGTCAGGAAAGGGTGGAGTAAGGCAGCGACCCAGAGCCACCAGAGGAGTCCTTCGCTCTACCAGACTGCTGGCCTCCGAGGCCAGGGAGGAGCAGTGGGGGTGTGGGGTGCAGTGCCGCGGCCCATCCCCGCCCTCCCCAGCATTACACCCCTCTGCTCACCTGCCCCCCATCCCATGATCTGGTGCGTCCAGGGCACGGGAAACCCAATCTCGAGGGGAGCCAGAGGCCCGGCCTGCAGCCATCAGAGCAGGAGAATGTCACCATTGTGCCTCCTGAAACCCAAGTCCAAGAATCCGAGACACCCTGAGGAGGGGGACTCAGATGGGGGGCTGGGGTGGGTCACCGAGGGGTTCTCCCTGTCTCAGCAGACAGGACACTTGGGGGACCAAGGAAGTCCTTGAGAATGCAGGGCAGCCAGAGGGCAGAGCAAGGCGGGGCCAGGCCAGCCGGGGGGCTTCCAGGATCCTCCTCTCCTCCCGGTGTCCCCCGCAGCCATGTGGGCCGGAGTGCCAGGCCCGCTCACCTATCTTGGAGGTAGT